TCCATCTCACTCCCTTCTGCCCGTGGGTGGACTAATCTCCATCTGTTACATCTCACTCCCTTCTGCCCGTGGGTGGACTAATCTCCATCTGTTCCATCTCACTCTCTTCTGCCGGTGGGTGGACTAATCTCCATCTGTTCCATCTCACTCCCTTCTACCCGTGGGTGGACTAATCTCCATCTGTTACATCTCACTCTCTTCTAGCCGTGGGTGGACTAATTTCCATCTGTTCTATCTTACTCCCTTCTACCCGTGGGTGGACTAATCTCCATCTGTTCCATCTCACTCTCTACTAGCCGTGGGTGGACTAATTTCCATCTGTTCCATCTCACTCCATTCTACCCGTGGTTGGACTAATCTCCATCTGATCATCTCATTCCCTTATACCTGTGGGTGGACTAATCTTCATCTGTTTCATCTCATTCCCTTCTACCCGTGGTTGGACTAATCTCCATCTGTTTAATCTCATTCCCTTATACCTGTGGGTCGACTAATCTCCATAGGTTCCATCTCATTCTCTTTTACCCATGTGTGGAATAATCTCCATCTGTTCCATCTCACTCCCTTCTGCCCGTGGGTGGACTAATCTCCATCTGTTCCATCTCACTCCCTTCTGCCCGTGGGTGGACTAATCTTCATCTGTTCCATCTCACTCCCTTCTGCCCGTGGGTGGACTAATCTCCATCTGTTCCATCTCATTCTCTTTTACCCATGTGTGCAATAATCTCCATCTGTTCCATCTTATTCCCTTATACCCGCATGTGGAATAATCTCCATCTGTTCCATCTCACTCCCTTCTGCCCGTGGGTGGACTAATATTCATCTATTCCATCTCACTCCCTTCTGCCCATGGGTGGACTAATCTCCATCTGTTCCATCTCACTCCCTTCTGCCCGTGGGTGGACTAATCTCCATCTGTTCCATCTCACTCCCTTCTGCCCGTGGGTGGACTAATCTCCATCGGTTTTATCTCATTCTCTTCTACCCATGTGTGGAATAATCTCCATCTGTTCCATCTCACTCCCTTCTGCCCGTGGGTGGACTAATCTCCATCTGTTCCATTTCACTCCCTTCTGCCCGTGGGTGGACTAATCTCCATCTGTTCCACCTCACTCTCTTCTGCCCGTGGATGGACTAATCTCCATCTGTTCCATCTCACTCCCTTCTGCCCGTGGGTGGACTAATCTCCATCTGTTCCATCTCACTCCCTTCTGCCCGTGGGTGGACTAATCTCCATCTGTTCCATCTCACTCCCTTCTGCCCGTGGGTGGACTAATCTCCATCTGTTCCATCTCACTCCCTTCTGCCCGTGGGTGGACTAATCTCCATCTGTTCCATCTCACTCTCTTCTGCCCGTGGGTGGACTAATCTCCATCTGTTCCATCTCATTCTCTTCTGCCCGTGGGTGGACTGATCTCCATCTGTTTCATCTTATTGCCTTATACCTGTGGGTGGACTAATTTTCATCTGTTTCATCTCATTCCCTTCTACCCGTGGTTGGACTAATCTCCATCTGTTCCATTTCACTCCCTTCTGCCCGTGGGTGGACCAATCTCCTTCTGTTCCACCTCACTCCCTTCTGCCCGTGGGTGGACTAATCTCCATCTGTTCCACCTCACTCTCTTCTGCCCGTGGGTGGACTAATCTCCATCTGTTCCATCTCACTCCCTTCTGCCCGTGGGTGGACTAATCTCCATCTGTTCCATCTCACTCCCTTCTGCCCGTGGGTGGACTAATCTCCATCTGTTCCATCTCACTCCCTTCTGCCCGTGGGTGCACTAATCTACACCCGTTCCATCTCACTCCCTTCCGCCCGTGGGTGGACTAATCTCCATCTGTTCCATCTCACTCCCTTCTGCCCGTGGGTGGACTAATCTCCATCTGTTCCACCTCACTCTCTTCTGCCCGTGGGTGGACTAATCTCCATCTGTTCCACCTCACTCCCTTCTGCCCGTGGGTGGACTAATCTCTATCTGTTCCATCTCACTCCTTTCTGCCCGTGGGTGGATTAATCTCCATCTGTTCCATCTCACTCCCTTCTGCCCGTGGGTGGACTAATCTCCATCTGTTCCACCTCACTCCCTTCTGCCCGTGGGTGGACTAATCTCCATCTGTTCCATCTCACTCCCTTCTGCCCGTGGGTGGATTAATCTCCATCTGTTCCATCTCACTCCCTTCTGCCCGTGGGTGGGTATCAAGGAGGCGCCGTACCCCTGGGCTCTGCCCGTGTACAAGGCGGTAGAGCAGCAAAGTGTGTGGACTAATCTCCATTTGTTCCTTCTGTATGGAATGGAACGTTGCCTACTCGCACGAGTGCTGTTTCCTCCTCCGGATGTGCTCCGGTTTCTGCTCACGCGCTATGAATAACTAATTCATTGGCTCTCAGCACAATTGGTAAAGAGCTGTCCTCCAGACAGTCTAGTCCCTTCACCTGATGAATGCCACTTGTGTTGTGGCCGAAACGTCGCGAGAATATTATTGTGTTATTTTATTTTATCAATTTATTATTTTATTCTCATTCTACGTGACTTTACCGAAAGAACCAAAGAAGGTGTATTTTGATTTAAAGCTTTCGTGACTGCATTAATTCATATTAATATTCTTGGTTCTTTCGTTAAAGTCACGTTGAAGAGTGACTTTATCGAAAGAACCAAGAATAGGAAGGTGTATGTTTAACATCCATCGAACCATACGTAGCCAACCGTGCTATGTATATATGTTGAACTTCTTTCACACCGTACGTAGCCAACCATGTAATCGGAGGTGTGACGATGGGACAACAAACTAAACACCAAAAGCAGTTATAAAAGAAATGAGTTTGTCAATCTAGACGATTTAAAATTGAATCTTAGCTCCCAATGGCTTCCTGATATCGGAAGGAAGATTGTCTCAGATGGACGGCCGTGGAAGCAGCTTCATCTGAAAGCGCCGCAGGATGATGATGATGGTGATGATCAGGGTGATGATGATGATGGTATTGATGATGATGGTGCTGATGATGATGATGATGATGCGGTGACCCCCGCCTTTGTTCGATGACTGAGCCAGAAGTTGATGGTCGTGATGACTGATGATCGTGATGACGAAGCCGCTGCTGCTGCTGCTGCGAGGATGACCCCCGGATGCTGATGCTAGTGTATAGCTCTTTGCTGCTGACGAGATCAGCAGCTCGGCCGAGCATTGGACGGGCACGGTTCGCATCTAAGTAAGTCGTCAACACGCGTTTCGTTAAAACTCACCCGTGCGGAGGTCGCATTCTGGCACAACCCGACGGAGGCTGCCCTCGTCTCGGGCTTCCGTTATCAATGAGCCAAAAATCCCACGTCAGCAGCCGCGGCGATGTCCATTGGCAACTCCGTGCCCCGGACGCCGCCAATACGTTCTTTGGTTCTTTCGGTAAAGTCACCACGTAGAATGAGAATAAAATAATACATTGATAAAATAAAATAACGCAATAAAATTCTCACGACGTTTCGGCCTTCATCAGGTGAAGGGACGAGACTGTCTGGAGGACGGCGCTGGAGCGAACCCTCCAGCGCTGTCCTAACAGACAGTCTCGTCCCTTCACCTGATGAAGGCCGCTTGTGTTGTGGCCGAAACGTCGTGAGAATTTTATTGTGTTATTTTATTTTATCAATTTATTATTTTATTCTCATTCTACGTGGTGGTGACTTTACCGAAAGAACCAAAGAAGATGAATCCTTGCAGTCACGAAAGCTTTAAATCGAAATTTAGCCGCCAATACCTTCGAACAATCCGAGATCTCCACTCTGCGCGACAGAGCCGCTTTGATATACTACGACAATAATAATAATGATACGTGTCTATGTATAGATTATATGGATGGGTGTGTTTTAATGTGAACACTGAGGAAGTGTACCATACGCGAATCATCGATAATACATCGAATTATTAAATGCGCGTTCACAGAGAACCGAATAAATACGTGAAGTTGACACCGTGACCACAATAGGCCACGTGCTTTGATACAATTGACCACGTGCTTTGATACAATTGACCACGTGCTTTGATACAATTGACCACGTGCTTTGATTCAATTGACCACGTGCTTTGATACAATTGACCGCGTGCTTTGATACAATTGACCACGTGCTTTGATACATTCAATTCCCTCGAGTGTGTGAGAGAGGGTGTGTGTGGTGCTGTAGGGCAGCGGTAAGCACGTGGCTCTACGAACCTGGTCACCTGACTTCGATTGTCGCTTTACGACCAACACCGTTGGCGATTATTTGAACTAGTCCTGGGCCTCCTCTAGCTCGACTCAGCCTCAAATGAGTAGCTGGTGAGGTGTGTAAACATCGCCACTGGGGAGACAAAGGCGGCCGGGCGGGCGTGGTGCAGGCCAATCACCCCCTCGTGTACCGTGCCGGCCTTCATAGGTGCTCGTTAACAGCACTTGCCCAAACAGTCTGTTAAGGCTATACCGGGGATCTTTGATCTTTGTTTGTACTGTGTGGGCGCGTGTCACGTGTCCTTTGTGCGAGTGAGGTGTGTTTTGTGTATGAGTTCAGGTTCTCGTGTGTGTGTGTGTGATGTGTGAGGCGTGTATGGTTGGCTATGTACGGTGCAAAATAAGCTCAACGTACATACATATGTGTCAAGTGTGTGTTAGAGAGAGAAACGTGAGGGAGCCGTGTGTGTGTGTGTGTGTATACACAAGGTGTGTGTACGTGTGCGCGGCGTCGAGGTGTTTATCCAACGTCGAAGTCGAGCCGTGCCTCTGATGTCACACGATATGAACCTTGACGTGTGCAGACGACGCGGTGAAGACGTCACAATGCAATGGACGCTTCATTTGCGCTGCCCCTGGCCCTGCTTGGCCCCGAGCCAGTTTCAGACGTCTTCTCGTTGATGCCAGGCTTGCTCATCAGGGTTTGGTTCCGGCACAGCTTGGGCAGATATCCAGTTGAACAAACAACAATCATACCGTGCTGGCTCGGCTCGGATGTGCCTGTGGTGGGAAAAAAAAAAACAAAAAAAAACAAAAAAAAACAAACACCCGAACGTTGCTGACTCGGCTCGGGTATGCCAGTGGAAAAAAAAAACACCCATACTGCGCTGGCTCGGCTCGGATGTGACAGTAAGGGGGGGGTGGGGGTGGTGGGGGGAGGGAAGAAAAATAAACCACCCGAACCGTGCCGGATCACTGGCACCGCTAGTGCCCTTCGTCGCCGGGCGTCACGGAGTCGCGTCCGAACTTGCAGAGCAGGATCCTGAGCATGGCCTTGCGGATCTCTCCTGTCCGCACCCCGTAGATGATGGGGTTGAGCGCCGGCGGGGCGATGTAGAAGAGCCCTCCGAGTAGCTGGCGAGCGGCGTCCGGGATGGGCAGTAACTTGTCCACGCGATTGTAGGTGACCAGGAAGAGGACGGGCAGGTAGAAGACGGCGAGCACGAGCACGTGGGTGACGCACGTCTGCATGGCCTTCTGGTGGCCCTTGCTGGCTGCCGTGTCCCTGCGCGTTCCCCGGAAGCGGCACTCGTAGATGATGCTCGCGTAGGAGAACGAGACGACGGCCAGCGACAGGCCCACAGTGCAGGTGGTGAGCACCAGGCCGTACACGTTGTTGGCCGTGCCGTCGCTGCATGCGAAGTTGAGAAGCTGCGCCGGGGCGGGCGGAAGTGGGAACGTGTTACCGTGTGCCGCGCTTGCCACTTCCACTCTCGAAGACTCTCCATCATTTCTAGATTTAAAGCTTTCGTGACTGCAAGGATCCATACTCTCTGGTTCTATTGGGTAAAGTCACGTAGGTAAAAAATAAAATAGCAAAAAATCACGACGTTTCGGCCACAACACAAGCGGCCTTCATCAGGTGAAGGGACGAGACTGTCTGGAGGACAGCGCTGGAGTGAAAAAAGCCACGTTCAGATCACGACCTTTAAGCTGTGTGAGGAGAAACAAAGTGCCTTGACAAAGGAATTAGCATATAATTTAGCATTGAAATGGCTGAGTGATTAGCTTGTAACTGGTCACAGAAATGGCTATGTTAAAGTTAAAGCATACACATCTGCAAAGGCACCCCTTGACAAAGGAACTAGCATAGAATTTAGCATTGAAATAGCTGAGTGATTAGCTTGTAACTGGTCACAGAAATAGCTATGTTAAAGTCAGAGCATATACATTCACCGAGGCACCTAGTACAAATCAAACAGTAGAATTTAGCGAAATTCTGTTTGATTTCTCCTGTTTGATTTGTACTAGGTGCCTCGGTGAATGTATATGCTCTGACTTTAACATAGCTATTTCTGAGACCAGTTACAAGCTAATCACTCAGCTATTTCAATGCTAAATTCTATGCTAATTCCTTTGTCAAGGGGTACCTCTGCGGATGTGTATACTTTAACTTAGCTATTTCAATGAGCCATTTCAATGCTAAATTATATGCTAATTCCTTTGTCAAGGCACTTTGTTTCTTCTCACACAGCTTAAAGGTCGTGATCTGAGCGTGGCTTTTTCACTCCAGCGCTGTCCTCCAGACAGTCTCGTTCCTTCACCTGATGAAGGCCGCTTGTGTTGTGGCCGAAACGTCGTGATTTTTGTTATTTTATTTTTTACCTACGTGACTTTACCCAATAGAACCAGAGAGTACTCTCCATCATGGCGTTATGTGTATACAATACACACAGTGTTTCCGTTTTGATTTAAAGCTTTCGTGACTGCAGTGATTCATATTCTTGGCTCTTTCGGTAAAGTCACGTTGAAGGGAAACAACAAAATAATAAAATATATATAAAACAATAAAAATTCTCACGACGTTTCGACCTGATGATGACCGTTTGCGTTATGGTCGAAACGTCGTGAGAATTTTTATTGTTTTATATATATTTTTTATTATTTTATTGTTTCCCTTCAACGTGACTTTACCGAAAGAGCTAAGCAAATATAGTGTGTTCCGTCGTTTCAGTTGCGCGCAGCGCATCGATCACCGTCTGTAATATTTGGCAACGAAATCAAGCGTAGCTACTTTTTTTCCTCACACGCTACACGGTGCCGATTCGCCGGACCGGGTCACAGCCTTCGGAGCTGTTTCGCCACGTGACGTTGGAAACCACCGGAGAATCGCGGCGGTGGCGGATAACCGGTGATCAACCGTGTGTCCGCCATAAAGCTTTGCCATTCCGGGGCTTTGCCACCTGGGTGGTTGCTCCATGTACCGTGCTGGCTCGGCTCGGATGTGCCAGTGGTAAACAAAACAAAACAAAAAAAAAACACCTGTACAATGCTGGCTCGGCTCGGATGTGCCAGTGGAAGAAAGAAAAGAAATACCCGTACCATGCCGGCTTGACTAGGATGTGCCAGTGGAAGGAAAAAAGGAAAAAACCCCGAAGTTTGCTGGCTCGGCTCGGATGTGCCAGTGGAAAGCAAAACAAAAAAACACCTGTACAATGCTGGCTCGGCTCGGATGTGCCAGTGGAAGAAAGAAAAGAAATACCCGTACCATGCCGGCTTGACTAGGATGTGCCAGTGGAAGGAAAAAAGGAAAAAAAAAACCCCGAAGTTTGCTGGCTCGGCTCGGATGTGCCAGTGGAAAGCAAAACAAAAAAAAAACACCTGTACAATGCTGGCTCGGCTCGGATGTGCCAGTGGAAAGCATTGTTTCCTTTTGGGCACACACTCACGCGGACCCCTCCGCTCACCTGCACGTTGTCGCACTGCGCCGCGTACACGGCCTTGGGCCTGTCGCAGTTGTAGAAGTTGAGCCTCGATGTGAGGATGAGCAGCACCGAGACAAGCAGCGCCGACACGACCACTGTGGCCGCGTTGGCCGTGGCCACACGCCCGTTCGTCACGACCGCGTGGTAGCGCAGCGGCCTGCAGATGGCCGCGTAGCGGTCGAGCGCCATCGCCGTGAGCACGTAGCACTCGAGCGCGCGGTAGAACTGGATGGCGAGCATCTGCGCGACGCACTCGCCCACCGTGATGAAGTTGGGCGCCGCCAGGTCGCGCATGATGCGCGGCAGCGTGGCGGAGCAGCCGACGACGTCGCTGATGGCCAGGTTTGCGAGCAGGATGAACATGGGCCTGTGGAGGCGCGGGTCGCGGTAGATGGCTGCGCACAGCAGCAGGTTGCCGACGAGCGCCACCGCGTAGAGGAGGAGGACGACGGTGAAGACGAGCGGCCGCGTGCCGGCCGGCTCTCGCAGCAGGCCGGCGATCAAGATGAGCGTGCCGGAGCCGGAAGACGACGAAGATGAGTTCGAGTCCATGGTGGTGGTGACAGAGTTCCAAGTACTTAGAGTGGTCGTGGTGAATGACGGGTAAAGATCCGAGATCCTGGGCGAAGTGGCGGTGGTGGTGGTGGTGGTGGTAGGTGATGGATAAAGATTAGCGATGCTCGGTGATGTGGTGGTGGTGATAGGTGGATGGATGGTGGTGATAGTGATGGTAGTGGTGGTGGTGGTTATGGCAACGTTGGTGATGGTGGTATCGTCAGGGGTCCCGTTGGTGGGTGGTGATGGAGATTAGTGAGATGGAGAAAGGTGGTTGTGGTTGTGGTGGTGGTTGTGGTGGTTTTTATGGTGCAGCTGTCTCTGAAGTGCCCAGACTTACAACACACACTATGAACCTTCTGTCTCCACCACCACCATCACCACCACCATCATAATCATCATCATTCTCATCACCACGGATCACCTGTCATTGCCTTTCAGAGTTGATATTCGGAGAATTCTTCCATTCAATGTCATCCCGAGGGGGACATATCTTGTGCACTTTATTCATGTGCCGTGAAGAAGGGCAATTGCCCGAAAAGTCGCCTATAAATCCCGTTCCTTTTCACGTCACGCACCGTGTGATTAATGAAGGGATTTGGGTTTTTGACGAACTTGAAAGCTCGCAAAATACATCCTCCTGGGTTGGTGAGAAATCTGAATGGAATCAATAATCAATAAACCATCAACATCACCACCACCATCATCACGATCATCATCACCATATTCGTTACACGTGGATCACCATCATCATCATTACCATCACAAGATTTGTTACACGTGGATCACCATCATCACGAACATCATCACCATATTCGTTACACGCGGATCACCATCATCATCATCATTACCATCACAAGATTTGTTACACGTGGATCACCATCATCATCACGATCATCATCACCATATTCGTTACACGTGGATCACCATCATCATCATTACCATCACAAGATTTGTTACACGTGGATCACCATCACCATCATCATCCCCATCACAAGATCTGTTACACGTGGATCACCGTCATCGTCACCATCATCACGATCACCATCACAAGATGGTGACGATTATGATCAATACTTAGCTCTAGATGACGTGGTGAAGGTTGATAATGATTCTCTCAGATCCATCCTTGATGCCTTGCACCCACTTAAATCCACGGAAATATCTACTGCTCAATCTGCGCCTTGGCTTCCTGATGGGCTCCACTCCTTAAAAGTAACCGTGCGAAAATTTGAACGGACTTGGATCAAATCCGGTCTTAGAGTCCATTTGTAGATTTTTGAAACATCATCAGTCACCAGGCTAGAGCGTGTTTCTTCTCAAATCTAATTGCGAACAATGTTCATAACCCAAGAGCACTTTTTGCTGCATTTGATCGGATGATAAAGCCACCATCTCAGCCATCCTCTTACCAATCCAATGATAAACGCGATACATTTATCAAATTCTTCTTGGATAGAATGTATAACATCCGACACCGAGTTACCTCAATCTCCTTCCCCTGCCCCTATTCCAAAAATGTCCCCGCTATCCCTGAGGACTCGCTTATTCGAATTTTTCAAGGTTGCCCTATCACCCATTGCTGGTTTGGTGGCTCGGTCCCGATCCACCTTTTTGCTTGCTCGATTCCTTGCCCCACCAAATCAATTCGATAACTTTTCCATTTACTTTACCCATTTGTAACCAACATTTTTAATCAATCTGTCAACCCTCTTATTGCGTCTTCCACCTTCGAACATGCAGTTGTCACCCCTCACCGGCCTTGATTCTGAGGTTCAAAGTAATTATCGCCCACACCTCCAATCTACCCTTCCTATCCGCGGTTCAAGCTTGAACGCCTGGCTACCTTGCAGTTGAACCACCGCTTGTCCACCCGTGAATTGCTGGATCTGTTCCAGTCTGGGTTCAGAGCCGGACACAGCACACTGAGACATCTCTGAGTCAAAGCGTTGATCGCTGCTGACTCTGGCTCATATTCTTGGTTCTTTCGGTAGAGTCACGTGACTTTACCGAAAGAACAAAGATTATGAATCCCTGCAGTCACGAAAGCTTTAAATCGAAATTTGACTCTGGCTCGCCCAGTATTCTTGCTTTTGCTGAATCCGAGTTCAGCCTTTGACACCGTCGATCGTGACATCTCGGAAAGCATCCATGGGGGGTTTCAGGAACTGCTGTCCGTTGGTCCAGACCTCATCTAGCTAATCGAGAACAGTTTGTACGCATGGGAGATCTGAAATCTGCTCCCAGGCACGTGTTCATTTGGGGTTCGTCAGGGCTAAGTCATTGGCCCTCTTCTCGTTTCCATTCATATGGTCCCACTGGATTAATTTGCTCCGAAATCTCGGCCTAAAGTGTCACTGCTATGCGCCCTGACGCTCAAATGCACTTGCATGCTGGGTCCGGTACCCCTTTGTCTGCCTGCATGCTTACTTTGGCGCTGGTTTCCAACGAAAGTTGGTTGTGACAAAACTTCCTCCAATCGAACGGTGTTTAAAGAGGAGGCGATGCTCATTGGGTCATCACGCCAACTTTACAAAGCTGCACCTTTCGACATTGTGACTGACGGTCCCGTAATCAGTTCGGCACAGGGAGTCACACATCTCGGGGGGGGGGGGGGTCATCTGTGATCCCGAATTGTCCTTCGAGGCTCTTATTAGAAAAAAAAAATACTTCATTTTCCCATCTTCGGAATATTTCCCGTGTCCGATCTTTTTTTCCATGCCTCAGGTGCAGAAAAGCTGGCTCGTGCCTAAATTTCATCTCGCATAGACTTATTGTAACGTCTTAAGAAGGTGCTAATCAATTTGGAGCATGCTCGACATGCAGCTGGCCAGGGTGTTAACAAGAACGCTTTCTTCGCATCGTTTTGGCCTCCCTATACTCGCTTCCAGTTTCACGTAGAATAGAGTTTAACATCCCATTGTTAACTTAACAAAGCGGTGAAACCATCTTGCCCCAGCCTACATCGTTGACATGCTGCACGCCCATATGTCCCCTCAAGGGCCCAAAGGTCTGGGCATGATGCTGATCTTGGCATGATGCTGATCTTCTCTCTGTATTCCCAGGTCGAAGGTTCCGGTCAATGGGTGACCCGATATTTGTCCCCGTGTAGCCCCCGGGCTATGGAATGTCTTTCCACGAGACATCCCTAAGTCTGTGGACATTTTTTGAATGCACCTTATAACATATGCGTACGCTTCCGCTCACCATCACAAGTGTTGTTACACATGGAACACCATCATCACCATCACAAGATCTGTGGGTTACCATCATAACCATCATCATCACAACATCTGTAACATGTGGATCACCATCATCACCATCATCACACGATCTGTTACACGTGGATCATCACCATCATCATTATAACCATCATCACCATCATCATCACAAAAATCTGTAACATCTGGATCACCATCAGCTCCATCATAATCACAAGATCTGTAACATGTGGATCACCATCATCACCATCATCATCACAAGATCTGTTGGACGTGGATCATCACCATCATCATCATAACCATCATCACCATCATCATCACAAAAATCTGTAACATCTGGATCGCCATCAGCTCCATCATCATCATCACAAGATCTGTTACACGTGGACAACCATCACCACCACCACCACCATCATCACCACCACCACCGCAAATCTCACTCACCCAGCCACTCACCCATTCACTCACCACCTGTGGAACCATTAGGATTCATGCACACAGTACACATGCCCACGGCTAAAGCGCCGATCGCAGTCGCGGTGGGTCACAGCATCTCGCGGTCGCTTTCAGAGGCCGCCGCTGCTTCGGCGGCCGTCTGGAACGCTCTTCCCTTCCGATATGGGGAAGCCAGTGGGAGCTGTGTGGTGCCACTTAAAAGTCACTGTTCGTCATCGAGATTGACGAACTAATTTCACTGGAACTCCGATTAGCACGGTTGGCTATGTACGGTGCGAAAGAAGTTAAACACACACACACACACATAGCACGGTTGGCTACGTACGGTTTGAAAGAAGTTAAACACACACACACATAGCACGGTTGCCTACGTACGGTGCGGAAGAAGTTCAACACACAAATAATACACAAAACTACGCCAAATATAATAATCATCAATGATGACGATTCCTCACCAAGCCAGTAGCAGCATCATCATCATCAGCATCATCATCAGCAGCATCATCATCAGCAGCAGCAGCGGAATCAGCGCCGTGTCTTTTATACCCTCCACATGTTTCATGATCCTCCCCCTCCTCCCCTAAGCCCCAAGTCCCTTGAGTGGCGGGGCCCAAGTGAGAGAGATGATGATGATGATTGTGAGAGAGATAGTGTGAGGGTGTGTGTGTGAGTGTGTGTGTTAGAGTGCGTGTGTAGCGGTGTGGGGAGCGGTGTTGCAGCGGTTAGCGCTATGCTGCGCTATGAACCTGGCCGCATGGGTTCGATTCCCGCTTACGGCTAACGCCACCAGCGACGAATATTTTAACCGGTCCTGGGTCTGCCCCTAGGTCGACTAAGCCTCAAATGAGTGACCTGGTGGCGGTGTGTCGTAAACATTGCCACTGGGGAGACAAAGGCAGCCGGGCGTGGTGCTGGCCACCCACCCCATCGTGTGCCACAGTGCCGGTAGCCTTCACAGGTGCCACAGCAGTGTCTCAACAAAGAAGTCCAGTTTACCATGGGAGTTCAGTTTACCGTGGGAGTCCAGTTTATCATGGGAGTTCAGTTTACCATGGGAGTCCAGTTACCACGAGAGTTCAGTTTATCATGGGAGTTCAGTTTACCATGGGAGTCCAGTTACCACGAGAGTTCAGTTTCCCATGTGGGTCCAGTTCAACATTGGATTCTAGATCACCATGAGAGTCCACTTTACCATGGGAGTCAAATTCACCATGGGAGTCCAGTTCACCATGGAAGTCCAGTTTACCATGGGAGTTCAGTTTACCGTGGTAGTCCAGTTCACCATGGAAGTCCAGTTTATCATGGGAGTTCAGTTTACCATGGGAATCCAGTTACCATGAGAGTTCAGTTTCCCATGTGGGTCCAGTTCAACGTTGGATTCTAAATCACCATGAGAGTCCAGTTTACCATGGGGGTCAAATTCACCATGGGAGTCCAGTTCACCATGGAAGTCCAGTTTACCATGGGAGTTGAGTTCATCATGGAAGTCCAGTTCACCATGGAAGTCCAGTTTACCATGGGAGCCCAGTTCACCATGGAAGTCCAGTTAAACATGGAAATGCCACTAGGGAGACTAAGGCGGCCGGACGTGGTGTTGGCAACCCACCCCCTCGTGTGCCGTGCCGGCCTTCATAGGTGCTCGCTAACAGCACTTGCCCCTACAGTCTGTTGAGGCTAAATGGGGGAGCTTTGTATGGGAGCGTGGCGAGGAGGTGTGGAAAGCTGTAAGCCCCAGGCTACTTTGGGCTCGTCTTCCCATCAACCGGAGGCGAGGAGTGGTGGTCGTGGTTACTTATGCCCCCACCGAAGATGAACATCCGTGGAGGGATGCAGGCAAGGCCGATGAGTCAGATGCCTTCTATAACCTCCTGTCACAGGTGCTGGCTAAAGTGGCCCCTCGGGATAGAGTCATCTTGTTGGGTGACTTCAATGCCCGAGTTGGTCATGATGATGGCACCTGGTCTGGAGTGATTGGAAGGCATGGACCAGATCAGCTCAATAACAGCGGTAGGAGGATGCTAGATTTTTGTGCAGCCCATGGGCTTATAATTACCAACACGATGTTCCGGCATCTGCGCATCAACACAACATCATGGATGCATGCCGAGTCCAAGCAAGAACATCTGCTGGACTACAAAGTGACTGACCAGCGGATGCGAGCCCATGTCCTTGACACCAGGACCTACCGTGGAGCTGATCTGCCCTCTGACCATCGACTTGTCATCTTTAAGATGCGCCTGCCATTCTTCCACCCCAGTGGTGGGTGTACACCCAGGACACCATTCCAACCTAAGGTGGCCTGGTCTCAACTTCGTCCCCCACTCCTCCTGATGTCGAGGGTAAATGGGCGAGGTTAAGGACTGTGACTCATGCAGCTGCAATGGCTGCTTTGGGTATGCGGTGCAAACCTCCCCAGAGACCCTGGCTGACAGAGGAGGTGTTCAGGATGGTTGAGTAAAAGCGACAGGCCCACTCTAATCGTCTACAGCATCCCACGTCAGAGAATGAGGAGGCTTACCGCAGCCTTCGCTCGGAGGTTTGGAGAGCCGTGAGGCGCTGCAAGGATGGGTGGTGGTCGCGGGTTGCTGAGGAGATGGAGTCTGCCTCAATGGCCCTCGAACACAAATCCCTATTTAACTCCATCAAAAAAGTAACCTGCAGTGCCACACCTATTGCCATCATTAGGGGAAAGAACGATGATCCAATCTCCGACCCCCAGGAACAGGTTAACAGATTTGCTGAGCATTTTTGTGAGGTCCTGGGGGAGGGGGAATCCCTCGACCTGGAAAACATCATCGGACAAAGTGGGGATGACTCTGCTGAGGCTGCGGTGCCTCAAATATTGGAGGAGGAAATCACCCCCTGTGAGTGACTGCCTGAGGTGCCATCTCTTGAGGAAGACATGAAGGCGATCCAGAGTCTAAGACCAGGATAGGCACCGGCAAGAGATGATCTCCCAAGCGAAATGCTGAGGGAGGGTGGCATTTATGCGTAGACTGCCCTACATGACATCATACCACCAGTCTGGGCTTTTCTTTCAGCGCACCATCGCTCCCCCAAAACATCCCCTGCAGCATAACAAAAGGCGGCTTAACTCAGCCCTCCCCCCCACCCACGTTCCTTCTTGGCTCCTCCCCCCCCCTTAATCTGTATATAATCCCGGCTGTCTCAGAGCTGTCCACTTGACACAGATATTCTGCTGTGACTGTTCCACCTGAAGACGGAAGCTTGTGTTGCCTTCGAAACGTCGTGATTAAATTTAGTTGTTTTCTTTTCTTTTATTTTACCTACGTGACTTTACCGAAAAAAAAACAAAGAGTAGGGTTCCCCAGGATTGGAAGGATGCCCTGGTGGTCCCACTCTTTAAGAAGGGGGACCGCACAGACTGTAACAACTACAGGGGCATCTCTCTCCTCAGTGTGCCGGGAAAGGTCCTGGCAAGGATTATTCAACATTGCCTTACCAAGCACGCTGAGGAGAGGCTTGCAGAGCCCCAATGCGGTTTCAGGAAAGGGCGGTCCTGCACAGATGCCATATTTCCTGTCCGCCTGCTACAGCAGAGGTGTAGGAAATTCCAACAAGACCTACATCTCTGCTTTATTGACCTGGTCAAGGCCTATGATGCCATCAGTAGGCCTTGGCTCTGGGTTGTGCTTTCAGAGTCCCTGATCCTCTGCTTACACTCAATAAGGACCTTCATGATAGTGAACAGGCCCGGGTAAAACTACTTGGCCGGAAGTCAGAGCCATTCCCTGTACACCTTGGGGTGCGACAGGGATGTCCTCTGGCTCCAACATTATTTAACATCTATTTCAACCAATTAGTTCGTGAAGCCTTCAGTAGTTGTGCCGGGGGAATTTCCATCTGGTACAGATACAATGGGTTGCTGATCGATGCCCGGGTGCGCACAAGAGATAGCTCCCTATTGGTCAACCACGTTATGTATGCCGATGACCTGGTAATAGCAGCTCACTCAGAGGAGGAGTTGGAGGCGCTGCTGCTGAAACTGGAGTGTGCCACTAAGAGATGGGGCATTACCATCAGCTCCACCAAAACGACGCACCTGCCTGGGTATTTTGTACCATTGGGCACTCCACCCCCACAACTCCCAATCGGTGATGGGGCAGTTATGGAGAGATTGGAGAGTTTCCCATACCTGGGCAGTGTGCTCATGACCGGCTCCGGTTTAACAGCAGAGGTCTCACTCCGAATCAGTCGAGCGGCATTATCATTTCATCGGTTGCATAACGCTATGTGGAAGCTACCTGGTCTGTCGCTCCGCATGAAGCTTCGGGTCTTCTCGGCCACAGTCATTCCCTCCCTTTTCTATGCTTGCGAAACGTGGACCCCCCTAATGGAATATCTTCGCCGGTTAGAAACATTTAGGCTAGCCTGCCTACGATCAATCCTGGGTTTAACCAGACTGGTTTGTGTGAGGAGCTCACACATCCTCGAAAGATCTGTACAAAGTCCCATCGGTGAGCACCTCCGGCAGGCAAGGTTGCGTTGGCTGGGCCAAGTAGCCCGCATGCCCAATCCCCGCATGCCCAAACAGCTTTTGTTCAGCCGGATCGAGGGTGCTAAACGGGCGTGGCACAGGCTGGAGAAGAGATGGAGTGACGTGGTACTGGAGGTTGTGGAGCTGAGTGGACTTGCCGATGACTGGTACAAGCGGTGTCAAGATTGGCCTCTGTGGAGGAGGCTCGTGAAGGACGCTACTGGGCAGTTGGAGGCAGTCGCCCTCCATACAACAATGGAGGGCGGAGCAGCGACACTCACAACAACGAGCGGAGCGCCGGGTGGCTAAAGCAAAGCAAGTTGGCACAGTAGGGGGCACAGGTGGTGCATCAGCTATTCATCTCAGTCCGTCGACCCTTGGCACCTGGGTCTGCCCCGTGACCTCCTGCCAGCGGGCGTTCGACACTTCACGTGGTAGCCTCAAGGTGCACATGGCCTGGCACAAGCGTCGTCGTGGTGACGTCACCGCCACTTAGTGACGAATGGCGGTTGTTGTTGTTGACACCCAGTGCTGTGTGTGTATGTACGTGTCTTTGTGTATGGGGGATACCCAATGAGGTGTGTGTACGTGTCTGTGTGTATGTGTGGAGGAGATCTTATCTTATCTTAATTATGTGTATATAGCGCCTTTACCAA